GACTTAAATGGTTCGGACAGGTGAAAAGAAGAGGCACAAATGTCCCAGTAAGGAGGTGTGAGAGGTCGGTCTTGGAGGGCCTAAGGAGAGGTAGAGGTAGGTCGAAGAAGTATTGGGGAGAGGTGATTAGGCAAGATATGGCGATTCTCCAGCTTATCGAGGACAAGTCCTTGGATAGTAAGGAGTAGAGGTTGAGAATTAAGGTACAAGGTAAGGTAGCCGAGCGCTATCCTTACTCGTTCCATTAGTTTTAATGCATTCCTCGATGGTAATCTTGTATTTTCTTATTATTAGATTTCTGTTATTGCTTATTGTTTCTTTCACTTCGGTTTTCTATTTGGTTTGCTGGTATTGTTGCTTGCTGTTACTCCTTCCTCTCTACCTTTCATGAGCCGAGAGTCTTCCGAAAACAGCCTCTCTACCTTCTTCAGGTATGGGCAAGGTATGCGTACACTCTACCCCTAAGTTGCTCGGACACGGGTGCGGGTATCCGACACGGGTGCGGATCTAGAGGTCGGATCCTTCAAGATGTTAATTCTAAGATTCGGGGATACGGATCCTAATACGGATACGAATGTGGGGATCCGGCTAAAAATAATTCAAGAAAATAAAAATATAAAAATATCTCTAAATTATGAGAAATTTTATGGAATACTTACGTATAACTTGTAAAGTATGGATTTTATTTTTACTCTCAAGTTGTAGATAAGTAAAGGATTGATTTCCTGGATAAGGTATGCTGTTTTCTTCAAATTTACTCCAGTTTTAGTTATGATTTCGGGAATCAAATTGTATCTCATCTTCAATTTCTCCGTCCGTCGTGGTCTAAGTACCCAAAATTATTTTATCAGAACCAGTACGGATTCCATACCCACACCCATACTAGTGTCGTGTCGACACGGGTGCGGCACCTAAACTACCGTGTCGGAGCAATTTGGCTCTACCCTCCCCAGACCCCACTAGTGGAATTACACTGAGTTTGTTGTTGTTGTTGCATATTGTCAAAGAAATTTATTTTAAAAAAAACACTATTGTCATCCAACATCTTTGCTACCAAAAGTACAGTTTTGAAGAGGTTTTTTTCCACTTACACTTTAGATGATGCTGAATTTTTCTCGTACTCCAGATACTCTGAATATAACCAGGCAGCACATATCGACACAATTCCAAGAAAAAATGACACCTGTAATTCATTCGGAGGAAAGTTATATTTCATTTATAACAACCATCCATTGTCCTAAATCAACTCGTTGAAGCCAGGAAATAGGAACACTTAATCACATAGCAAAGATCACTTAAACCACTTTGTAAGTAGCAAATTCTATGAAATTTGAAACCGAGAAGACAAAAAGAAAGACTTAAAGCTCAAAACTCCCGTAAAACTTGGAAGTTCAATATCCAATAAAAGAAATATAAGCTTGCAATTTGAAAATGTAAACGCAAAGGATACACACATCGAGAACATCCTAAATGCCACTTACCCAAGCATTGAACATCATACAATGATGTGGAGTGGGAGTAATCCCTTTAAAAAATCAAGTAGCATGAGTTAACTCTAAGTTCAATGAAAAAAGCTATGAAGCAAACGCTACTTAGTCCACAAATCCGCGCTCATTAATCAATGCAACGCGTAATAGAGAGAAGAAGCATGTTTCAACGAGTAAGATAAAAACATTTAACAAAAGCACACGACACCAGGGCATTTTAACTACAAACTCACAGAAAAAATTAAATAACATTAAACTGCTGACAATAGAAACTCCTAAAAACAATCAGAGAATTGAAGTTTGGAAGGTCTTATTGAGCAAGTAAGCACTGTACAACTGCTTATCTACCAAGTAAGCATGTTTTAACTAACAAAAGCAAAGGGCGTTGAGCACAAAACATAGCCACACAACACTCCTATCTACAAAATTCTACTAAAGCAAACACAACATTGATAAACCAGATCAAAATGGATTTTAGGGAAAAGCAAAAGCGCAAAATGGAAAGGCATTGAGCACAAACCACAGTCGTACGGATCAAAATTACTTTATTCAAAGAACAAAAAATGGGGTTTAGAAAATTCACTAACCTGAGCAGGTGTTAGGGGACCGTAGAGTAACATCCTCACAGTTCACAACTGATAACCTTATTATTTTCAAGAAAATGAGTTCACGATGTGTACATCAAATTAGAAGAAGAAAGAGAAATCATCAGATCTAGTTATGGCGGATGAAGAATGACAGTGAATCTTTGTGTTTTAAATTTGGAAATGTTGTGTAATGTATTTATTACTCTACTGAGTACTGTTCTCTCAGAATGAAAGAGGGGGGAAAACGAAAGAGATGGTTGTATTTATTACTCTACTGAGTGCTGTTTGGTATTTTTATCCTTCCAGCCTTAAATGAATTTGGCACAAATTTCTAACTAGAGAATCACAAGATTGGATAAAGAGATTTTAAGGTTTGGGATTGAGGCTACACTTCAATCAAAGAGTAAATCAAAAGAATGAAATGATTGAATGCAAAAGTATAACACCTTCCTTTATAATTTATGTGAACTTATTTGAAAAAATAAGGCTTTTGGAATTTGTGGTCCTAAACAATTCAAAAAGGGGCTCAGAGTATTTGTGTGGTTATAAAAGCTTCTCATTAAGGGTAGAATTGTAAGTTTAAGCAAAATTGTTTTCAAATTTAGAAAGGGGTCACTCTTTTTGGAACGGACCAAAAAGAAAATAAGTTCACATAAACTGGAACGGAGGTAGTAGTATTTGCTTTTCTTCTTTTAGGTAGTAACGAATTCAAATACGCAATTAATATATACTTCCCTCTGTTTTACTCATCGTGTTTATTCAAAAAAAATAAATCATGTAAAATTATGATTTGGGTTATTTGGATTATGTGCAAATAACCTTAAAATAAAACCCTCTATATAGAAATTATCAATAATTATTTGATATTAATAAAGAAGCAGGACATGAAATCATTTTTCAAATCTCATAGTGGATAACTTGTTTTCTTTTTCTATATTTATAATAACTGAACCCCTTGATTTTGACACTTGTATTATATTTTACGGTCAATATTAAAAAATACTAAACATGTAACTGTATAGGGTAAAATTGGTTTATATTAAATGATCAAATAATTGCGTGACACGTGGAACCGGAGGCAGACGGAAGATGAATCGAGTAAGAACCGAGACCGGGGACAAGAGCTGCAGTTGGTGTCGGATATATCCCGAAGGGAGCATAATCAACGGGGGCAAAACGAATGTTTGTCACCAGATAGCATTTAATGAAGAATATTCCCTAATATTGAATAGGCAGACGTTGCAGAGAATTTTGGCATTCATGATCTGCCGTTACACCTTCATCAATGGCTCCATTTATTGTCATTTAAGAGGGCTTGATCCTATGATCTTGTTTCCTATGTTTAGCTATAAATAGTAGCTTCAACAACCATTGTAGGTAGGGGTGTACATGAGGCGATTTGGTTTGGTTTTTTATTAAACCAAAATCAAACCAACTATGTCAGTTTATTAAATTTATAATCAAATCAAACCAACATAAACTCGATTTTTTCGGTTTCGGTTTTAGTCGGTTTTCTCGGTTTCTTCGATTTTTCGGTTTTATTTTGTAGTTATATTGTGCTTGAAAAAAAGATCAAATAATCACCAATTATCCGCATGATTATTCATTAAAATAATTTAAGATAACAGTTCTATCCAAATCTAAAGAGACAAAATAATATAATTGGTTTAATCAAACACTTTAGCTTACCAAATTATATTGGAGTAGTAAGACTAGTATGCAATTCCAAACTTGAATAATGGCTACTTCTCAACAAGAATTGCAGAGCGGAAAGCTCGTGTAAAGTGGAGGGAAGGGTTTCCAATATTTGGGGTTCTTTGATTTTGGAATTGGAACATAGGGAAGATACGGAAGATATTAAATAACCTATTTTATTGTCTTTTGTCTTATTGGGTTTTAGTTTGGGCTTCAGATTTAGATTATGTAGATAGAATCTACTTAGTGGATAGTGAATTTATAAGCCCACACATAAATAATATTTTAAGACATTGAAAATTATAAAATAGTTTAGAAANACCAAACCAAACCAAGAGTGTTCGGTTTTTTATTTTCCAACACCAAACCAACAAAACCAAACCACATGTAGGGTTTTTTTTTCGGTTTGACTTGGTTCGTTGGTTCGGTTTGGCTTGTACACCCCTAATTGTAGGACACGAAATCTCTGATAAAACTTATGCTATACTCTATTCCCAAGTTAAATAATATAACTTTACTTTCTGTTTGTTATTGTCCTTATTTTTGTCCTCGGAAGCATCGCTCCTGGGGCCAGACCTGTCATTTTCTTTGATTTTAACGCTAAATTTTATTTTTAATTTAATTTATTTATCATTTTAGGGCTTAGACAGTTGCGTAATTGAGTTGATCCTTGCATCTATTACTAACTCATTTGGTTCTTTGTTTCATAGGAAAAATCAAAAAAATGGCAGCTAACGATCTCAACATCACGCACAACGTTGAGGCACACGAAAACCTACCTCAACATGAGGATTCAATCAGTGACACCCGCAACGAGGGGGACGTAGCAACTCCGGTCCATTGCGGACGATATCCCTGACATGTGCGGGAGACGACTCCTGATGACGCCAAAGACGAGCATGTTGCGAAAACGGTAAGGATATTGAGAGAGCAGCAAAAGGCCATCATGGGCCATCTCTCAAGGCAGGACCAGGTCATGACGGAACTAAAGCAGGCATTATCAGGCGCTTCCAACAATGCGAACGGAGGAGGCCCAGCTCCTCCGGCGCTCTTGCAAATCAGACAGCTCAAAAAGTTAATAATAACACCCCGAGGGGTAAGGTCGGCTTCAGGGGGCGATAGCGGATCAGGTAACGATAACGGTAATGACCCCTTCAAAACCGAACTCATAAGATTCATGAGGGAAATGAACGAGCGGATGGACCAGAACGAGAAGGAGTTTCATGCCTAAATGGACCAAATTCCGGGCACACCACCAGTTTTGAAGGGCCCAGAGTCGAAGAAGTACACCCAGTTACCGTTTAAGCCGAGCGTATCACCAGAATTGATTCCAAAATGGTTCAAGATGCCAGACATACCAAAATATGATGGGACTTCAGATCCTCAGGAGCACGTCACAACTTATACAAACAACAACAACAACCTAGTAAAATCTTATTAACGGGGTCTGGGGAGGGTAGTATGTACGCAGACCTTACCCCTACCCCGAAGGAGTAGAGAGGCTGTTTCCGAAAGACCCTCGGCTCAAAAAACAAAAAGACAAAAGGACAAAAAGGAGACAATATTAGTATCACAACAGTAATCATAGGAAAAATAGGAACACCATGAAATCCAGAAGAAAGATGAAAAGCAAAGGGAGACAATATTAGTATCACAACAACAATCATAAGAAAAATAAGAACACCATGAAATCTAGAATAAAGATGCAAAGCAAAAGCGATAGCTAGTAAATAGGACCTGCACTGAAAAGCAAAATAGTAAGACACAAAGCCACTAGCTATCTTAGACAAAACCCCCACATGGCTAGTCCCATAATAGTACTAAGTAAGGCACGACTCAACTATCTCCTAACCTACAACCCTAATACTTGACCTCCATATCTTCCTATCAAGTGTCATGTCCTCGGAAATCTGGAGCCTCGCCATATCCTGCCTGATCACCTCTCCCTAATACTTCTTAGGCCGCCCTCTACCTCTTCTTGTGCCCTCTACAACCAGCCGCTCACACCTCCATACCGGAGCATCTGGGCTTCTCCTCTGAACATGTCCGAACCATCTAAGTTTCGCTTCCCGCATCTTGGCATCAATGAGAGCCACGTGCACCTTCTCCCGAATATCATCATTCCTAATCTTATCTATCCTAGTATGCCCGCACATCTACCGCAACATCCTCATTTCTGCTATTTTCATCTTCTGGATATGTGAGTTCTTAACGGGCCAACACTCAGCCCCATACACCATGGCTGGTCTAACCACCGCTTTATAGAACTTACCTTTGAGTATCTTCTATAAAGCGGTGGTTAGACCAGCCATGATGTATGGAGCTGAGTGTTGGCCCATTAAGAACTCACATATCCAGAAGATGAAAGTAGCAGAAATGAGGATATTGCGGTGGATGTACGGGCACACTAGGATAGATAAGATTAGGAATAATGATATTCGGGAGAAGGTGCACGTGGCTCAGTATACAACTTATACAACGGCGGTGAAAGGAAACAACTTGGATCAGTATGAGATTGAGTCAGTTCTACTGAAAATATTCGGAGATGCCCTCACAAAATGGGCCTTGACATGGTATTCGCTTTTACCTGAACACTCAATTGATTCTTTTGAAATGCTCATAGATTCATTCATAAAGGCCCATGCTGGGGCCAGAAAGGTCCAAGCCCGGAAGGCGAACATATTCAGGATCGCACAGGGTGAGTCCAAATTGCTGCGAGAGTTTGTTATTAGGTTCTATAAAGAGAGGATGCTGGTACCGATCGTACCAAACGAGTGGGCAGTGGAGGCATTCACTAAAGGTTTGAACCCGAAGAGCTCAGACACCTCCCAAAAATTGAAGGAAAGCATGCTCGAGTTCCAAGCGACCACATGGGCGGATGTCCATAACCGCTATGAATCGAAGATAAGGATAGAAGATGATTAGCTTGGGTTCCCGATATCAACCAAGGGACGGGATCGAGAAAAGAACCGGGATAAGTTCAAGGATTATTTTGATGCAGACCTGCGATCTTCCAAAGACCGATTGTTGCCTTACGAGAGAGCTGAAGGACGCAGCAGCAAAGGGTTCCAGTCCTCTGATAGGTTTGCTCCCGATAGAAGAACTGACCGCGATCAGAACAACAGGTCGCTACAAGAAAAAGAGGTACCGGGGACCCAGGATTCCTCATATCCCAGGCTGTCAGATTATAATTTTAACATCAGAGTAGTGGAGCTGGTATCGGCAATGAGAAACATCAAGGAAGCACGATTCCCGAGGCCAATCAGATCTGATCCCAGCTAGAGAGATCCCAACTTATGGTGCAAATATCATGGAAATCATGGTCACAGAATTTGGGACTGCCGACATCTACATGAGGAGGTGGCAACATTGTTGAAGAACGGCCATCTCAAGGAGTTCTTGAGCGGTCGGGCCAAGACCAATTATGGTCGCGACCGAGACAATGTAGAACCCCGAAGATAGGGGAAGACCCTCCTTGGCTAACTATCAACATGATTTTTGGAGGGAATGAGATCAATGGTGTAAATTTCTCAGCAACCAAGAAAACAAAGGTATCAGTGACTCACAGCAAGAGACTTCAGGAAGTCGCCGAAGATGACATTACCTTCACAGAGGAAGACGTCGATGGACTTCTTCTACCGCACAACGATGCCCTGCTAATTTCTCTTAATGTTCTAGATTTCAAGATTAAACGTGTTTTGGTTGATCCAGGAAGTTCAGCCAACATCATTCAATGGAGAGTGCTGGAGTAAGCCAAATTAACCGGGAGTATCATTCCAGCAACAAAACTCCTTGTCGGGTTTAATTTGGCGAGTGTAATAACCCGAGGGGTCCTGCTGCCCTCAAACGCCGAAGGGGTTATGAAGACCACCTTATTTGAAGTGGTGGACGACAACATGGGCTACAACATAATTCTTGGTAGACCATGGTTACATGAGATGAAGGCTGTACCATCAACATATCACCAACTATTGAAATTCCTGACCCCAAAAGGAATCAAGCAAATAAGAGGAGATCAACTGACAGCGAGAGAAATGAACGATGTATCAGTTTCCAGCAGTAAATGGGAGGAAATCAACAAATAGCAATTACAGTAATCGGCGCCCGCTCCCGAGCCAAGCGAAGATGATAAAGGCGAGGAGTCATCGGAATCCCACCAGGTACCGAGATACTTTTAGGTACCGGAAGAGACAGATGCAACCAAGCCCACGACAGAAGAACTCAAACAAGTGGCTTTTCTCGAGGGATTCCAGAGAGAAAATTTCACTTGGGAACATGACTCAATCCCGAGCTCAGGTCAAGATTTATTAATTTCCTTAAAACTAACGTTGATTGTTTCCCATGGTCGCACGTGGATATGACAAGTATCCCACTAGAGGTGGCCTTGCACAAGGTTATCCTCGACCCAAGCATCCCGCCAGTAAGGCAGCAGAAGAGCCCGATAGCCGAAGTCAGGAACATGTTTTTTAAAGAAGAGGTAACTTGGTTACTCGACATCGGTTCAATCCGGGAGGTAATATATCCCGATTGGATAGCTAATGTAGTTGTAGTTCCAATAAAGAATAACAAATTTCGAATGTGTGTCGATTATAAAGACTTGAATAAGGCGTTCCCAAAAGATTCATTCCCACTGCTGAACATCGATCAAATGATTGATGCAACGGTCGGGCACGAGTTAATGAGTTTCCTCGATTCCTATTCCGGGTAAAATCAAATTAAGATGAACCCAGAGGATTAGGAAAAAACTTTGTTCCTAACAAACTTTGGCACATATTGTTATAATGTGATGCCCTTCGGTCTTAAAAATTCTAGAGTCACTTATCAGAGTCTCGTGAATAAGATATTCGAGAAAAAAATAGGTAAAACAATGAAAGTATATATAGATGACATGTTGGTCCAGTCTTTGAATGCAGGTGGCCATTTAAAACACCTCCACGAAACCTTCGATATCCTAAGGAAACACAACATGAAATTCAATCCCCAAAAATATGCGTTCGGGGTTAGCTCCGGTAAGTTCTTGGGTTTCTTGGTTTCACAAAGGGAGATCGAGGTAAATCCCGATAAGATGAAAGCCATCGAGGACATCCCAGACCAGCTGACAAGCGTGAAAGAAGTCCAAAGGCTAACCGAAAGATTGGCCGCTCTAAGCAGGTTCATCTCTCGATCTTCGAAAAAATGTCATCACTTCTTCTCAGTTATGAAGAAGAAGAACAATTTCGAATGGAATCCAAAATGCCAACAGGCCTTAAAAGATCTAAAACGTTATCTATCAAGCCCTCCGCTACTATCAAAATTGGGGGAAGGTGAACAGTTGCTAATATACTTAGCGGTCTCGGAGGTAGCGGTAAGTGTCGTTTTAGTCCGGGAGGACTAAGATATGCAATCTTCTATCTATTATGTTAGTAAAATTTTGTCAGGAGCGGAAACTCGTTATCTGTACCTCGAAAAACTGGCTTTAGCTCTCGTAGTTGCCTCTCGAATGTTTAGGCCTTATTTTTAGTGCCACCCGATAATCGTGGTGGCAACCTTTCCCCTGTGGAATGTCCTTCACAAACCTGAGTTGTCAGGTCGGTTGGTCAAATGGGCAGTTGAAATTAGTGAATTTGATATTGAATATAAGCATAAGGTTGCGATCAGATCATAAGTTTTGGTCGACTTTGTGGCCGATTTCGTCCCCGGTTACTGCCTTTGGCTGCAAAAGAAGCGATGATGGTGTCAGAAACGACATCAGGAGTTTGGACCTTGTTCACGGATGGAGCTTTCAATGTGAAAGGGTCCGGGCTCGGGGTGGTCCTAATCACGCCTTCGGGGGAAACCCTGAGGCAGACTATAAAAACTATTCCGTTGACTAACAATGAAGCCGAGTATGGGGTTTTGATTGCAGGACTTGAACTGGCCCCATGACTTGGCTCCGAGGTCATTGAAATCAAATGTGATTCCCAACTGGTAGTAAATTAAGTATATGGAATTTTCGACACAAAGGAGGAACGCATGCAACAGTATGTGATTAAAGTTCAAACTTTGCTTGCACGATTCAGGGAGTGGTCGATGACACACATCCCGAGAGAAAAAGAACATAGAAGCAGATGCATTGGCCAAATTAGGGTCGTCCACGGAGATGAAAGGATCAAACTCCAGTACTGTCCTTCAACTTATGCATTCGGTACTGCAGGTGGACGACTATTGTGAAGTAAATACAACCAACCTAGTCTGGACTGGAGGAATGAGTTCATCGATTACCTTTAGCATGGTAAGCTGCCCGAAGACCCGAAGGCATCCCGGGCACTACGCACCAAAGCGGCTCGCTACAGCCTCTAGGGTGGACAGTTATATAGAAGATCATTCTAAGGCCCGTTGGCCCGATGTTTAGGAGCCTCGGAGGCAGACTACGTCATGAGAGAGGTCCATGAAGGAATTTTCGAGAACCATTCTGGTGCAGATTCGTTGGTGCTAAAACTGATTAGGAAAGGATACTACTGGCCCCGGATGGAGCAAGACGCAAAGGCGTTCGTCCATAAATATGACAAGTGTCAGCGCCACGTGCAATTGGTACACCAACCGATGGAGCTCTTGCATTCGATTTTGTCCCATGGTCATTCATGAAATGAGGGATGGATATCGTTGGGCCATTGCCAGTGGGTTCCGGAAAGGTAAGATTTCTTCTAATTTTAACTGATTACTTCACTAAATGGGTTGAAGCAGGTCCTTACTAAAAGATCGGTGAGCGCGAAGTGGTAGACTTCCTGTGAGAAAACATAATTTGCCGGTTTGGAATACCGAAGGAGATCGCCTGTGATAACAGACCACTATTCATATGCTCCAAAGTCACAAAATTTCTTGAAGACCTGAAAATCAAAAGGATTACTTCCTCACCATATCATCCGAGCACTAATGGACAGGCGAAATCAACCAATAAGGTGATTATTCAAAACCTCAAAAAGAGATTTTGAATAATCAAGCACGGGAGAGACACACTTCTCTCTCGTATACGACTCAGAAGCTTTGATCCCGGTGGAAGTAGGAGAACCAAACTTACGGTCCTTCCGAGCAGACGAAGAATCAAACAATGAGGCATTGCTGGTAAAGTTGGAACTGCTCGATAAACGCAGGGACTTGGCACACGTTAGGATGGTGGCTCAGAAACAAAGGATGAAAAGATACTATAACGGGAGGGCCAATCTCAGCTACTTTAAGGTAGGAGGCTTGATTTTGAGGAAAGTGACTTAGAGAACTCGGGAAATCAACGCTGGAAAGCTAAGTCCGATGTGGGAAGGTCCCTACCAGGTTTCTGCTATCACCGAAAAGGGATTATACGAGCTGGAGAATCAAGATGGAATCAAATTGCCAAACAACTGGAATGTGACTTACCCTCAAAAGGTATTACTACTGATGGATCCTACTTGTACTGAAAGTATGTGTTGCACTCTTTTTTTCTTCGACCGGTTTTTATCCCAATCAAATATTTCTGACAAGGTTTTTAACGAGGCAGCAACGGAAAGCATAATACGAAGGTAGCATCATCAGCAACGTTAAGACCTTTAAATGACAAGGCATTGAAAAAACAAGCCACTATGGGATGGTTAGATAGTCTTTGACTCGATGACAAAGTTCCTAACGGTAAATGAAGCTTTCCATCAGACCAAAGATTATACAATCATTCACAAGTGTTTTTTTTCAAAGGAGCAAGACTTCCAGTGTTCCAATTTGCATACTTCGCATTCGAACACTGGGGGGAATAATATGAGACTATGGCAACATGATTGCCACAAAAACCGGGACCACGAGACCTGGGAACAACAATGTCTCATCGGGGCCGGGGACTGCATGGCCAGCCCCGTAGAAACAAGTTGTACTAATTAGCCATATGTATTGGCAATTTCTTTTTTTTAGCAATCGAATGCTTATGTACTTTTAAATATGGAAGGAATAAAATAAAGTCCTTTTGTTTTTATCTTGTTTCTTGTCCAAATAATGAGTTAATTTTATCATTTGAAAGTTAACAAAAAACTTCAAATGCTTGTGCCGGAATGAAAATGAGACGTCCTCTTTAAGAGCATCGTAAATATAAAAGGGCCCTTTATTATGAAACCCTCATAGTAAAGGGTTGGTTCTGGAAGAATTTATGCCCGGAACCCAAAAGTTATCAGAAGAAAATACAGCTGAAGCCTTATTTAATTCAACGACAAAGGAATGAACTTTGAACAATACTTAAACAGAAAACCTTTTGTATTTATCAATATGCCAAACGACACAAGTACAAAGGTACAAAGGGAAAATGGCAA